GGCCATGTGTCCACATTTGCACAGAAGGTCTTGGAAAAAACCAAATGCCTAATTGCCCGGGAAATCTGGTGTTGGCAATTAGCAAACAAGGTATTATCTGCAGACAAACCATCCCCCGCTGTCTGCTTGGTTCTAATTACCCCATCACTCAGCCCTGCTCAGAGCATGTCCCTGGGTCATCCCACCGACCTGCTCCAGAGCATGTGTCGGGCCACACGCTGAACACATGCTTTGGGCTCCCAGGGAACTCCAGGATGCTTGAAGGCAAGAGCCAAAGAGAGTTTTGTTTCTCCCTGCACCCGCTCCCTCTCTACATCCAGCACAGCAACACATAAATCATCTGCCTTGCCCATCACTCAGCCAGGCCTCGACACAGTCAAACTTCATGACTTTCTCCATACAAAATTAAAATCCAGCTATACTGTGCAATGCTTTCACTGATCTGCATACAAAGGATGGAGGAGCAGCACGTTTCTAATATAGCTACATGTGTATCATGCACACCCACGTCCGTCGCTCTTCATATACCAAAGCTCAGATAATTCACCAGTTACTGTTCACCAGTTTGGCACAGGAATATACAAACCCATGGTGATGAGTAAGTTCTCAGGTAGTATTTCTTTACTTACTTAAGACATCAGAGTGGTGCTCAAAAATTCCTGAGGAAAAAGAACATGGAAAAGTACCCTTTATCCCCAAGGTAGGGGTGTAGGAAGCTTAATTCTGGTGGGCTGCAAGGCCCAACAAGGCCAGGGATCATTCTTTCAATGGGTAAATGGATAAAAGGACCACCGGAATATCATCAATTCATCTATTGATTTTTGACAGTCTACTTGATTTATTTCTGCTAATAGTAGAGAAAGTTGATATACGGGACAAATATATGTACAAGGTCTATGCTATGTGTCCTGGTTACCAATTACACATGGGCCATTACCCACAGTAAGAACGTCCAAACGACATTAACTGTGGCCCTGTTTACATTTCTTCTACAGAACTAACACAATGGCACCTTCCCCAACACCACGTCCTCCCACGTGATAGTCCAGCTCCATCCAAAAGGCTTGACTCTGGCACATGGGGAACACAAGAGAAAGGCAAATCCAAAAGGCTGACAGGAATGGAGGCTTTTACAGGGCAGACTTGCAAAAGCCAACAAAAAGGAATTCAAGTCCATCTGTGGAGGTCAGGAGGGAAGAATGGTGAGAGAGAGATCAAAGTGAAATGCTTTAGCAGCTCAAGGGCAGAGCAAAAGGTTCTGAGAATTTTAAGAATTACCTACTCCGCTGTTGCAACAAGATAAAATAAAGACCACCCAATGCAGCTTCCATTCCGAGCCCTAAGTGACCCTGAAAGCCAGGACCACATCAAAATTCAATGATTTCACCTCACAGAATCGAAAAACACTGAACATTTCAAGACTGCAAAGGATTGGCCATAAGCCTCTTTGTTATTAGCTTTAGATAATTAAATGTCACTGTCTTGAATATTAAAGGAGGCTCTGGTGATGTAGCAGTTAAGCCACTGGGCTGCTAACCAAAAGGTCAGCAGTCCCAACCCACCAGCCGCTCCACGGGAGAAAGAGGAGGCTGTCTGCTTCCATAAAGATTAATAGCTCTGGAAACCCAGTGGGGATCACCATGAGTCAGAATCCCCTTGATGGCAGTGAGTTTGGTTTTTTCAGTTGGGTCTTGGGTATTTAATATGCAGGCAATCCTTTTTAGTTTCTATTTTGTTGTTGTTAGCTGCCATCAAGTTGGCCCTGTGCACAACGCTAATCAGATCAGACCATCGTGAGCCATGGGGTTCTCACGGGCTAACATTCAGAAGGAGATTGCCAGGCCTTTCTTCTGAGTCTGCCTCAGTCTGGAAGTTCCACTGGAACCTGTTCAACATCACAGCACACCCAAGCCACCACTGACCCCCTGCACTTCAGACTACACTAGAGGCACATTGGTCGAGAAGTGAACCCGGGCCGGGTCTCCCGCACAGAAGGTGAGAATTCTATCACTGGACCACCAATGTCCCCGTAGTTTATACAGTGAACATAAAAACAACCTGATATGGGTGCTCACAGGGTCTCTCTTATACTTGGACCCTCAAACACATTCTTCACCCAATTCACTGGTAAGACAGTTTTTGCAAAAGATTGCATAAATGAAAGAATTATCCAACAAGCCTCCTGTCACAGGTTTAAAGCCGCAAACCAGGTATTTGAGGAGGAGCTAGTTCAATGTATTAGTTTACTCACTGCAAGTAGCTCTGGTGACACAGTGGTTAAAGCACTCAGCTCCCAACCAAAAGGTCAGCAGTTCAAACACCAGCTATTCTCTGGGAGAAAGATGAAACAGTCTGCTTCCGTAAAGATTGACAGCCTTGGAAACCCTATGGGCAGTTCTATTCTGTCCCCTAGGGTCGCTGTGAGTTGGAATCAACTCGATGGCAGTGGGTTTATTCATTGCTTGCCTTAGAGATGTGAGAATTAAAACAAACGCTTCACCTGGGTCCCTGCTATAAAATGCAAGATGTGTCAACTTCAGACACGTTTTTATTTGCTCCCAGAGCTAATGACTTCAATCAAAGCAGACGTTCTTAAAATGAAAAACAGGCTTGATAAGACAACCACAAAGGGAGCCATAATTCATGGACTTGCGTGGAGGCATTACTCAGGAAATGGCCATGAGCAGAATCGCAGGCTTTCTCAGATATATAAAATTGATCCCCCTCCATAAATACAACATTTTTAAAACACGAAGACAGAACCAACCAGCTGACTTTATTTCAAGGCTCCGGCTCTTGCGAATTGTGACAGGTGGTCTCAACAATGGGAACTCCCCAGTTTATCCAAATAGGCCTTCTCCGCTGGCTTTCAGATTTACGTATCAAATAAATGTGTAATTTCAAGAGGATTGTTAAGGCCTGGTCTTTACGATTTTAACAAACTACAATATATATGCTCATTTCCTCTCTCCTGCTGACTGTGAGATGACAGGTATTTGCTGACAACTGCCCCAAATCAAACTGTTTGAAAAGTGTTCTCCTGTCTCTCCTGACACATCTTCCCCGCAGTGTCGTCTCTGAAAATTGATCAGCTCAAGGTCATGTGTAGGTTACTGGCAACTATCTGTTAAGAAGGAAAATTTAAAAAAAAATCCTTTATTACCCTATAAAGGGCTTCATGGCTAGCTGAACTCCCCCTCCATAAATACAACATTTTTAAAACATGAAGACAGAACCAACTGGCTGACTTTATTTCAAGGCTCCGGCTCTTGCGAATTGTGACAGGTGGTCTCAACAGTGGGAACTCCCCAGCTTCTCCAGATAGGCCTTCTCGCTGGCTTTCAGATTTACGTATCAAATAAATGTGTAATAAATGTGTATGCATTATTACTGAAAGCTGAACCTCCATTTCAGTAAATAATCTATGGGGCTTTTTCAATCACCATGGTTGATGTCCAGAGTCAATGGCAATTTTACTGGCATGAACCAGGAGACCCTCTCACAGCAAAGAACACAGAGCATAAAATAACTGCTCCCCAAATGCTAAATAATAATTATGGAAGTGAGCACCAACACATTCCCAAAACTGCAGCACCAAGCACAGTTGCCCATCCTGACCCAGGTGGCATGTTCCAGTTACATCTCCTGCCTCCCAGGATGGTCCAGGAGATGAGATGCCCAGTGAGAGAGAAGTAGGGCTGCTGACCTTTCCTAGAGGCCACGAAAGCCTCGAGTCCCTACAACCCCAGACAGTCGGTGGGGGTGGTCCACGTCCTCTCTTAACCTCAGGCCCACACGCAGGTTCATGGGCCTCCTTGACCTTGTGTCTATGTGCATTCAGGAAACCACTAGGGGAGGTCAGGAACTGTTTTCCAGACCAAACATTCTTCCCACTAATGTTCAAGAGTTATAATCAGCACTCTCACAGGCCCTACCCGTTGGCACCCAACATTCTGAGGGGCTCCACCAGAGCTCCCTGCGTGTGATAAGGTTCTTCTGTTTGCCTGGCTCTCTCTCCCATGGGCTGTGGACTCATCAGGACAGGGCCTTGTCTTATGTCATCTCTGAATCCTCAGCTCCTGATACATCACAGGTATGCAATAAATATCAGATGGATGGATGGATAGATGGGTGCATGGATGGATGGATGGATGGATGAGTGGGTGGATGGATGGATAGATGGGTGCATGGATAGATGAGCAGGTGGGTGGATGGATGGATAGATGGATGAATGGATAGATGGATAGATGGGTGCATGGATATATGGAGAAGTAGATAAATGGGTGGGCAAATGGGTGGAGGGATGGATGACTGGATGGATGGACATATGGAAAGATAGATAGATGGATGGAAACATGTTTCTATGTGTCCAAAAGTGGGCCCAGTGACTACCCTCAGACACGAACTACCACCAAGATCTTATCCCACAGAGGTGTTAACCACCCTGAGTGGAGACACTAGTGATACACATGCCGAGGTACCTCTGAAGACATGGGTCATCTCTCAGATTCCTCTGACTTACCTCTCTCCACAGGCATCCACCTCTGCTCCCTTGCCCAAACAAGATGGGGGCTTTCCTAGCTCCTTCCTTCTTATCCCATTCCCAAGTCCTGTTATTCCTACTTCTTAGCAGCTCCCATATTCAACCACCTCCTAAATCCTCACCATCACAGCCCAGGTACAGATCCTCTCACTTAGTGGGCACCCTGCAACCTTCCTACCCTGGGGCCTGCCCCCTCTAAGCCACAGTCCCCTACAGCCACAGCCATCTAGTCAAAACTGAGGTCTGCTCATATTACTCAACGGTGTTAGGGCCTTGGATTCCCATCCCTCATGGGGCAAAGTCCAGCACACTGGTGGAGCCCTAGCCTTCACAGTTCATGCGTATCCCCCTTTGTGGCCTCATCTCTCTCCATCACCACCATACCTGACCACACCAAACCTTTCCACCTATTCTGGAACACCTGGGCTTGAGCCAGTCTCCAGGCCTTTGCACATACTGTTCCCCTGCCTGGAGTTCTCTCTACCCACCCCCTCCAAAGCAGGCAGATTCCACCTCAGCCTCCAGGCATTCACCTGCAAAGCCCCTTCCCTGAGTTTCAGTGAGGAGCCCCTTCTCTGTTCCCTTGGTACAGAGGAGAGAAACCGGTTAATCAACACCTGAGGTAGCAACCAGCAAAACTCAGACTGGGGGGAACTACAGGACACCAGGTTTTTTCAAAACTCAGTTACAAGGAAAATATACCAGAAGGTAAGAAAAATGATAGAGGCTCTCACACTACGGTGTGTATCAGAGTTACCTAGAAAAAAGCACAGTTGCCATCGAGTCCATGCCACCTCAAGGTGACCCCATGGGTGTCACAGTAGAACTGTGCTCTACGGTGCTTTCAATGGCTGATTTTTCAGAGGCAGACTGCCAGATCTTTCTTCCTAGGCACCTCTGGGTGAACTTGACCCCCCAGCCTTTTGATCAGCACCTTAACTGTTTACACCACTCAGGGACTGACTGGGAAGGTTTATTAAAACACAGCTCGCTGGATCCAACCCCTTAAAACTTCAGATTCAACAGATCCAGGGAGGGGTCAAGAATTTGCATTCCTAACAAGTCAATGCTGACTCTGCCCCAAACTGCCATAGCTTAAAAATAGGCTTAAAAGACATATTGACCAATTGTAATGCATGAATCTTTATTTGGTCCATATTTATTGAATATTTATTATTCCATTCAAATGAAAAAACTGAAAAAATAATGATGGCATTTATAAGACAATTAGAAATTAAAGACAGATCAGATAGTGACAATATGAAGGAATCAATAATTTTTAAGTCTAGTCATAAAATTTTTTAAAGAGCACTTATATTTTGGAGAAGGCGTCCTGGTGGTGCAGTCGTTAGGCATTCAGCTACTAACAGGTTGGTGGTTTGAACCCATGAGCCACTTCATGGGAGAAAGAGGTGGCAGTCTGTTTCCATAAAGATTTACTGCCTTATACCAAAAGTAAATGATCAACACAGTGGCACTAAGGAAGAGGAAGACACAGAGAGGTGCACAAGAAAAACGGACAGCAGAGATCAACCCTTCCATATATACAATACTGTGTTGTCAGTGACAACAAACATTAATCTAGGGGTGAAGAGATGGGTAGACAGGCTGAATGATCAGGTATGTCTAGGCAAAAGGGAATATACTCATGACCGTATATAAGGCTGGCAGACGATATTTCTACATATGTATTTGTATGTGCTATAATAATGTCCAAATACATAATAGAGCTAACAAGGGGCAAAGTTAGGATAACCTCTTTGCCACAGCCAACCACCCTGAGGGAGTGAGTAGTTGGATCTGTGAGCTTGGGACGATGGTCTCAGGGGACATCAAGCACAATTGGCATAACATATTACACAAAAGTTCTGGCAGCATAGTGCCTAAGGCATTTGACCGCTAACCAGAAGGCTAGCGGTTCAAACCCACCAGCCACTCCTCGGAAGGAAGACTGGGAAATCTACTTCCATAGTGATATGGCCTTGGAAACCCAAGGAGGGGTCGCTATGAGTCGGAACCGACTCAATGGCAGTGAATTTGGTTTTTTTTGTTTGTTTGTTTTTATTACACAAAAACATTGTCCTACATCCTACTTTGGTGAGTGGTGACTGGGGTCTTAAAAGCTCGCAAGCGGCCATCTAGATGCAACAATGGATCTCCCCTCATCCAGAGCAAAGAAGAATGAAGAAAACCAAAGATGCATGGAAACAATTAGTCTGAGGGACTAGTAGGCCATGTGATCCTCAGCCTCTATGACCATGAGACCAGAAGAACTAGACAGAAGAACCCTAACCCTGACCCTACCACTGTCAACCTACCACTGTCAACCACTCGGAAAGGGATCCGTGTAGACGATCCTGGGTCACAGTGGGAGAACAATGTGGAAAAAACCCTAAATCATTGGGAAAAAAAAGACCAGGTTTGCTGGTCTGATAGGGCGTGGTGAGAGACCCTCGAGACTATGGCCCCTAGTTACCCTTCAGGTCTGGAACTGAACTCACTCCTGTGGCTTCCAGCCAAACAAGAGACAGATACATAGGTGAACATTTGTATCAGGGAGATTCACTCCTTAGAGCAATCAATCATGGGAGAATAGAAGGGTAGTGTTTGCACAGGGAGATGGATCGGGGAGCAGGAACACATAGGAAATTTAAAAAAAAAAAAAATTACTGCCTTGGAGACCCTACGGGGCAGTTCCTCCCTGTCCTGTAGGGTTGCTGTGAGTGGGAATCAACTCAGTGGGACACAGGACAACAATCCTCATGGTAGCAGACTGCCAGGCCTTCCTTCCAGGGCACTGCTGGGTAAGTATAAACCATCAGCCTTTAGGTTAACAGTCTAATACAAACTGCTTGTGCCACCCAGGGCCTCCTTTATTAGTCCATTAGAACAAACTAAGAATACACATGGATTTGAAGACTTGGAAGGCTTCAGACCAGGGTCTCTGGGGGTGAGCAGAGGTACACATCCAGTGTGTTTCTCCAGGGCTGAGGCTGTTGGTCCAGCCCTAACCAACCCCTGTAGGACCATGACTCCCAGCAGGCACCACAGACAGCAAAGTAGGCATCGGGCCCCAGCTAAGCAGCCCCCACTCCCAGAATGGGCTCCATCAGCCTCAGAGCTCTGGCCCTGGGGGATCAGCTCCAGGCGCCTATACTTTGCAACCCTCTTATGCCCCCAGGGCCTCGGAAAGGACAAAGGACTGTCCTCCGCCTGCTGCTGGGCCCCTCCCTGCCTGAGAAGCCCAGGATCCTGCCCCTGCAGAGAGGCAGGGTTGCTTTAGGGCCCAGGACTCGCTCATACTGCTTTGTCCTTGAGGCGTGCCAGGATCCCGAGCCATATGGGAGGGGCAGAAGCTGCAATGAAGGCTGGGCCTCTTTCCGGTGTGGTTCTCACCCCAGTGAGGAATGGTGAGCCGAAATACTGATGACAGATGTCATGCGGTGGCCCTTTGTACTGCAACAGCTCTAGGTCTGCCAGAAAGGAGGGGAATGTCCTGTGCGGCCCTGAGAGTAGACACAGGGTCTTCCAGGCCTTGCGTCTTGTGATGGGCGGAGGGGCCAGGCCAGGCAGCCAGCTAGGGCTGCACAGCCAGCGGGTGAGTCTCCCAAGAATCGAGTGGCTTGGGAACAGGAGCAGAGCCTCAGTTGGCCCCTTGGCTGGTTCTTGGTGGAACCTATGGAAAAGGAAATGGCTCCCGGTGATGACAAAGAAGACAGGCATGGCAGCAGGAAACACCGAGGTGCAGGCGCCCGTGAGCTGGGGAGGCTGTGTCACCTCTCCCGGGCCCACCTGCTCCCTCAGTAGGACTGGTATTCTCAAGGCCTCTACCACCACGCTTCAATGAACAAAGGAGGTAATACGTGAGAAACCAGCAGAAATAAATTGCTGTGAGCTGTTGAGTCGATTCCTACTCATAGAGACGACACATGACAGGACAGAGCTGCCTCACTGGGTTTCCTAGGCTGTCACCCTCATGAGAGCAAGCAACATGTCTCTTCTCCCACAGAACCAATGGGGAGTTCAAACCTCTGACATCTCAGTTAGCAGCTGGGTCCTTAACCACTGCACCACCAGGGCTCTTGACCTAAATAAACAGTTGCCACCATTGGCTGAATTCTTTCAGGAGGTCAGATACTCTGTCTGCTTTTCACTTTAGCCTCTTTTGTAAGTTTACTCAAATTATTATTTTGAAAGTATTACAAAGAAATGGACAAACTCAGAAATCTATCAGGAAAGCTAACAGTCAGCACCCACTGAATGGATAGGATACTTCATGCTAAGCTAAGAGCTTTACAGGTGACAGGTTGCACCCCCTTACAACATATCTGAGTTACAATGAACCGTCTGTGTATGTGCGTGTGCAGGTACGTGTGTGTGTCGGTTGAGCATACACACAGTTCATTGTGTGTTTAGGGCACTCTGGTGGTGCGATGGTTAAAACATTCTGCTGCTAACCAAAAGGTCAGCTGCTCTGCAGGAGAGAGATGAGGCAGTCTGCTTCAGTAAAGATTTACAGCCTTGGAAACCCAGTGGTGCAGTTTCACTCTGTCCTAGGGGATCACTATGAATCAGACTAGACCCGATGGCAGTGGGCTGGTCTGAGTGCATGCGTGCATCCTATCATTGCTAATATGTGCTAATACAATGTTGCACAGTTAGCTGATGTTATCATTCTCAGATAGTTACTCACAGATGTTCAATATTACGATTTACTGTTCAAAACACTGCCAAACAGCAAGCTACACAAACTAAAAATAATAAAATAAGAGGTATTCGACTTACAACAGAACTGACTTACACAGAGTCATTGGAACATACCCCCAGAGTTAGCTGGGCACTACTTAAATAAACCCACTGCCAGCAAGTCAACTCCAACACACAGTGACCCTAAAGGACAAAGTAGAACTGCCCCATAGGGCTTCCAAGGCTATAAATCTTTACAGGAGCAGATCGCCAAGTCGAGTGGCTGGCGGGTTCAAACTGCCGACCTTTCGGTTAACAGCTGAACACTTAACCACTGTGCCATGAAGGCTCCTTCAGCAAATGATTGGTGATACTTATTATCATCATCATTGTCATCATCATTATTAAACTGGTCCAAGCGCTGCTGAGAGAAGGGTCACGTGCTTATATCATGAGACAGCACCTTCACCCATGCCTGGGGTCAGCAAATGCATTTCCTTTACGTTCTGCTTCTCCAGGATGGTTAATCAAGAACAGAAATCCCCACCAGACAGGAACGGGGCACCTGGAGCCTTTAGGAGAACTAGTGATGGGAAGCACAGGGCCAGCATTGCCAAGGGTGAGGGAGACCATGCCCAACTTCCCACTCAGGGCCACTGTCAGGGTGACGAGGGAGAACTCGGCAAGCCACGTGGCCCTCCTCACTCCATTAAACTCAGGCCCCAACTTCAGCCTGCCCGTCTTCCCACAGGAAGCTGTTTCACATTTTAAAAGTGACCGGGTAAATGTGATTACTCTCTGCCACTCAAGAGAAAGTGCAGGCCCAGGTTTAGACGGCCCCAACCTGTACTGTGAACAGCCTCCCTCAGTCTTCAGAGGCCTCGGCTCAGCTGGGACTCGCTATACGGAGGCTGCACAGAGGGTCAATGAGATTCCGGGCCAGCTGGCAGCACGGAGTCGTTTGCCTCCCAAACACTTCCATCTGTCCCTGGGGAGCAGAGAAGAAGAGGCAGAACACATGAGGGTGGGGACACTGGCTGCTTGGTCAACCACTCTCAGCTGAACTCGACCGAAGAGGGAGGGCAGGCCTCCTCCAGGCAAGAAACCCTCTTCGGCTGCCACGCACCCCCAGGCTGGGGGACTCGAGCCTCCCACCGTCAGTGTGGTGAGGCCTGGGAGGCTGAGGCTTGTGGCACCACTGTTGATAGAAGATGTCAGGACAGGCTTGACCCAGACAGCTGTGTGGCT